TTGCTACACTTGTGAAAAAATGATTATATTGAGGGGCCTCATAATAATTAGTCACCTAGGGCCTCTTAATTCTCAGGGCCGGTCCTGCATACGCCCAACCCAACCGGTAAGTTTCCGATTTTGGAGAACTCGACAATGTTTAGAGGACAATATTCGTGTTTGTAATATGTCGCCCTATTAGATAGATCAATAAGTCCACTTGATTTTTTTTTTTTTAATGCACTTCAAATTTGAGTTCATTATTCGGGGAAAGCGTTAATCTATATTACATGATTGTATAACGAAGAAATTATTTTAAGAAAAAACTAACTCATAGTGTGAAAATAATTAGAAGGACAAAATAGTCATTTTAACTAGAATATGATTATTTGATGTCCGGCGGGAATAAAACATATAGATGCCATTTCGAAGGTTTTAATTACAAGAAATTGAAATATTTTGCGAGATCAATTTATTGTGCTTAGTGGGGTGAACTAAAACTGAAATTGTTATGTACAGTTACAGTCTCGGATTGGCTTGATTACGGCTCAAATGTTCAATTATGGCAGTACAACCAGGTCCCTTTAGTAGCTTCTTAAAAGTATTGGACTTAATTGCACAGGTAATGAAAGTTCAGGTAAAAAGACCAAAATAAGTTTTCTAAGACGAAACAGGATTGAGCGTGCAGTTCAATTGACTGGATTGGCTGATTTCGTAAGGAGAAACTTTCTTGTTCATCTTGTGTGTTTTGCTCGCGAAATAATCTAGTCCTTGAAATTTTTCGATCCTCATTTCAATAAGAAAATATATTTTGAAATAGTGATTTTTTGAAAAATGCGTGGTTAAAAAATAAGGAAAAATTTTCAGTTTACGTGTAAATTTATTTCATGAGGGAAAATGCGTAGTTGAAAATGAATTTTGAAAAAAATAGGGCCGAACATAGGGTTAATATTGGCCTTTCTTGGTATCTGCTAACCGACGTTACTTTGAAAAACATCAAAGAAGGCTTGAGGGTTGGAAGCCTCAATATCAAGAAAGCTTGTAGATCAATGACGAGTTTTTAGAAGCTTGTAGTAGTTCAATCCATTAATTTGGAACGTATAATTAATCACGCTTAAAAGGTAATTCCACTGTCCTTGTTATGTGATTAATTTAGGATGATTAAAGGGTGGATCTAATTAGCTTTGTTGATATTGGGATCAAGTTTCTGTAATAATTTTTTTTTTTTTTTTAATTTAGCGATTATGGAATTTATTTTTTCAACAAGATGTTGTGAGAGTAAAGGATCATCAAAAAAGATGTTCGTGTGTGGTAAATGGTAAGTGGATGAACATGCCTCACTACCATCGCATTATATATGAGCTATTGATTGCTCGTCCATGATAATTGTGTCGTCATGTGGAGCTATGTGAACTATCAAACACATCGATAATTTTCCAACCGTTTCATTTTGATTTAGCCCCTGTTTGAGCCATATTAAAATTTTCATTCTCATTCTTCTACTTATTTTCAATCACACATTCTTCAATGAAATAATATTTTTCATCACATCAATAACTTTTCCTTATTTTTCAATCACACATTTTCCATCAATTTACTATTTCAAAATACATTATTCCAAAATAATGAGGCTCAAACACAGTAACGCACCCTAAGATATGAAAGCGCTTTGTTCTCGCATCCTCAAGTGTGTGGGCCTTTGTAAGTGATTTATTAGTACTCTACAAGAATGATGAATGGGAAAATTACCTTAAAATCCACATTTTAAGTTTTCATTTCAAAAATCAGATACTAATAATTTTATATCAAAATTCAAGCATGTTGAACCCAACTCCATCCCTCCACCGCACACCACTCCCCAACCCACCGAAAACATTCCAAAACTTCTTTCGAAGATAAAAATTACAAGTATGTATTGCCAGTTACAGCAACACCATCGACATGGCTGGAGAGGTTGTTCTCTTCGTGTTTCAATTTTGTGTTTTTAGTTTTGAATATCCATTATGAGATTGTTGAAAACGTATTCTTTTTGCCATTTTTAAAAATTATTTTGAAAAATAAAAAACCTCAAAATGCATTCACTTTCTCACTTGTCTCTCTATCTTCTTTCCTCCTCTCTGTAACATGCTGGAACCCCATCCTTCGGCCACCGTATTTATTGCGAACCACCACCAGTCGACTGCCCACCTCCGGGCCACTCAAAAACAGTCCTCAATTTAGTCCAAACAATTAATCGAAATGAGGGTCGGATTCCGTTTCGAGCAGTCCGAAGAAATCTGTGATTCCAGCGACGTCCGCTCAACTCATGGTTGCGGACCACATGGGTCACCTTCCTCTCCATCTGCTGCACCTAATCCAATCATGGGTCAAACCCAATTTCAACCACGGCTAGCTGATTTTATAGGTGAACTTAGGGTTGAAAATTGAAAATTTGTAATGGCGGTGGCTATGGTTGGTGATGATGGTGGTGGCGGCTATCGTTGGCGATCTGACAATTGTGTGGTGGTGGTGTATTGTGTGGCGACGATTTTTGTGGTGGCGGCTGTGGCGGTGGTTCTGGCAAACTTTCCCAATTCCGTTGCAATAGAATTCACCAAGTTGATTTTTAGGAAATATATGAAATAAATCAATAAAATGACGACTATAGGCGGGGAATTTCACGCCTAGGATAGAACACTGCTTTTTTTCTAAGAGATAAATTAGAGAGTAATAAACAATATTAGGGGGAAAAAAACAATAAAATTGTATTTAATTGAAAAATAAGTCCAAGTCGTGTGATGCTTTGTGAAGAAATAATCATTTCCCAAGCATGATCTATTGGACAGGCAAGACAAAACTACCTTCCTATAAAAGGATCTTTGTTGAGTCTCCCTCACGCAAAATCCATGGCTTTCGAGTCCCACTTGAAAGTATACTAATGGCCCGCTTGCTTGAAAAGAAATCTCTTTGAACAAGAAAACTTCAGTACTTCACCAACTTAGGAAGCACCTCAAATTTACTAAAATTTATTTTTCCTCAAATCATTTTCAACCACACATTTCATGGGATACAAAACTCAGGTAACCTGTTCACGAATCATAAGCATTTCAAGTACCGAGGTTAAAGTTAAATACGAGAGTTTTATGGGATATTCGAGTTCGATAGAAAGACTAAGATAGCACCCAAATGCCAGGCAAAAACTTAAACCCGATCACATGCACTTTCAAGTATAGGGAAGATGATGACCTGAAAAATGAACTACCAATTAGGCATAAACTTTCACTCCCCTGGCTTAATGGAGTGGCTCAAATGCCAAAACACGGAATTGAAAGAGAAAAATCTTTCTTTGCATATGATTCTTGGCTATGGAGAATCCAGTATGGAGTATAGAGGTTAGGGAAATCATCTTCAACAAAATACAGCTTTTCCTACAATTACTCAATAGCAAATGACTTCCGATATCCAAATGCATCTACAATCCATAGCATCTGGTGTTTGGTTTAAATAAACGAAGAAACAAGATAACTCAAATGATCAACGAGTCGAACACCTCTTTTCTCCACCTCAGATGTGTTTAGGAAGACTAAAAGCCTTTTTTCTGCTAGCCGCGTCTCTTTCTCATGTAAAATATTATCGATCACTTTCGCCCGTCTTTTGATCCTGCAGTTGTATTTTTCAGTATCTGCAACCAGAAAATAACGAGCTCGATCAGCATCCTGATATGAGAATTATTGAAGAATGAACTCATGACCGGTCAAAGGGCATGAATAGCATGGGAATGTTCAAGGCCGGAGTACAAATTGAATTGAAATGTTAGCTACCTGTCTAAGCATTTGATTCTCATTTTGCATAGTCGAAAGCCTCTCTTCGAGCTCTGCATTCTTAGTTTCCAACTCTTTAACTCTTGCCTCCAAATCAATCAAGTATGCCTTCTTCCTCTCCCTAGCTTGTTGTGCTGAAACTCTGTTCCTCAACAACCTTTCCCACTCAAACACAAGAAAAATAAACAAACCGTAAATTCGCTAACTGCATCTTTGGTACGCCATTCGACCGTGTAATAAACAAGATTTTGAGATTTCGTGAGCAGACAAACTATCTATCCTAAAACATGATCAGTCCACTTCCAAGAAACTCGTTGATGCAACATAAAGTAGGCCCAATTATTTGCTAATTACAATGTGGCAAGACATGATTGGATAAGATTAGGCCTAACTTAACTTACCGTTTCAACCTCTTGTTTTCTTTGTCAGCTGGGCTTCTACCTCTCCTCCTTTGCCCGCCACCTGATGGCTGAACCGGACCCGTGGCGGAAACTCCCAGCCCAGCCGCCTCTCCACCCATCTCCGGTACTCTTCTTATTTCATCATCGCTCTCCATACCTTCACAAATTTACAAAAATCCCATTCAGTGATCGATAAGAATACAGCAAGATCTCTGATCTCGCTACACTCTATCAACTGTGACCCAGACCAGACGGGAAATTCTTCGAATTCCTCCAAAACCCAACAATATAAACATAATAAATTCATCAATTATTCAATTATTTATCCGGTTAATACAAGAACTACCATCTTTTTCCAGAAATTATAGGGCATGATTTGAAGTTGGCTGAAGAATTAAAGCACAGTAAACAAATAACAAAACAATTTTTGTATTCCTGTTAAAACGCAAAAACAACAAAAAGAGAAAATAAACAGTAAAGGGACCTTCTTTGACTTCAACGTGAAGGGCAGAGCTTGAAGATCTCTCGCTACTTGAAGGCAATGAACTGGCTGCAATTGAACTAGTAGCTTGGTCCTGCATTTCCTTAAAATCTTAAAAAATAGAACGTAGAGTGAGAAACCAAAATACTTTAGAGAGAGAGAGTTTTGGGATGGGATCATGAGATATTTAGCTGTCAGAAGGAGAAAAGGGCGGGATGTGAATAATACAGTGAACGAGAGAGACAAGGACAGAGAGACTGGGGAGGGGGAGAAACTAGCGTGCTGCAGATGACCGTTTGATTGTGATGTATCGGACGGCTAAGAAGTGAGAAGCGTGGAAGTGTTATATACCATAACGTGTTTGTTTAATCAAAGGCAGTGCGATGGGAGTCGTGGAATAATATGATCCGTAGGATTAAATGGTATCTGATGATCAGGAGTTCTTGGGGTAGGTGCATTAAAAGCTGTTTGACAAACATTTTTTAAAATGCATTCTTTCACAATACATTTTTAATCATACATTCTTCAATTAAATAATATTTTTCATCACGTCAATAATTTTTTCTTACTTTTTAACAACATATCTTTCATATTTAAAATACATTATTTCTTCAATAATATTCATTAAATACCCATATGTATAAAAATTTGAAAAAATTGCAGCAACGATCCTTAACTTTTCTATTTTTTGCAAATTTTACTCTAATCTTTAATTTATGTCAGTGAAAATCCCAAACCCTTGAGAAATTAGTAGTAGAATGTTAGTTGACCAGAAAAATTAATTTTATCCAAATATAAGAAGAGCAAAATAGTAACTATACATTTTTAATATAAAATAATTAAAAAAAAAAAGAAAGAAATCTACCCCACCCAACCCCTAAAACAAAAAATTCACCCTCCTGCCCCCCCGGGGCACATTCGAGTTGGCAAAGGACGAACATTGTTGGGCTTGCAAACTCAGGGTGGGGAGTTCGATTCCTGGATGGAACAGCTGAGTGTTGTAATACTCAATTTGGGTGGAGCAGCTTGGTGATGTAATATCCATGGAGGAAGGCTTCCTTTGGGCCAAGAGTATAATGGTGCATGGACCCTGGTCAACTTGAGCATATCCCTCGGTTAACCTCCACCCATCACCGAGGGGCCGGGGATGGGTGGTCCAGGATATAGTCTGGTGTAAGTTGGGATACCTGGATATCAAAAAAAAATTCACCCTCCTCCTTTCCCACTCCCACCCACACCAGTGGTTGGCACCATCGGCCAAAGGCGGCTGTCACTATCGCTCAAAAGCTGACACTGTTGGAGAAGATATAAGGTGCACAAACTACAAAGAGGTAGGAAGATGAAAATAAAGAACAAAAAAATCAGAAAATTTGAGAAAACAAAAAGAAGATAAATAAGAAGATGAAAAAAAAGACCCGAACACGAAACTGTTGTCCTCAA